AGACAAGCGTTCATGGAGAGGAATCTGGGCCATTTCTGACATGAGATTCATCCCTGGTGCATTCTCCATTTGTTTCTGCAGGTAGGGGTGTTCCTCGTGCTCTCCCAGCCCCCTGAAGTGCAGCAAGAGCCCTCGGTGGCTGTTGTTCTTGGCATTTGAGGAGAGCTGAGAAGCTGAGGGACAGAGGCAACTAATTACATTTGCATTTTGAAGCCTCACTTCCAAATCCTTAAGGCCATTCTCTCCTTCCAGGTTCTTCTTTAGATCTGCTCCCAAACCCCTTTTTCCAAGTTTCTGGCTCCTAATTGCTCCTCCCAAGGTGGCTGCCTGCCCTCCCAGGCCCAGAGCCCTGGCCAGGGTTGTTATTTAACCCCCTAATGAGCCTCTGCTCAGAGGACCTCTCCCTCTGCAGAGAGAGGCTTTCTGGGGAGTTATAGGGCTAAATGTAGGGACCCGCCCAAATAGAACCATCACGTTCTGCCCTGGAAGGAATGAGTGTGCCAACCCCTAACCCCCCAACTCTTATATTCCCACCCCGTCTTAACCCAAGTGCTGACTTCTTTTTTGAACTCAGCCCGCTTGCACCTGAGTGAATAAAGGCCACGTTGGGGCGGCGCCTGTGGCTCAAAGGAGTAGGGTGCCGGCCCATATGCCGGAGGTGGCGGGTTCAAACCCAGCCCCGGCCAAAAGCTGAAGGGAAAAAAAAGGCCACATTGCCCACACAGAACCTGGACTCCACTTCCTTTCATTCACGTCTCGGAATAACCTCTGATTTTCCATCCTTAACCTCTCATTTTGGTGCCAAGAATCCAGGGTGGGGAGAAGCCCCCTCGGGGGCTGAGATACACCCTGTAGAACCCACTCCCAACTCAACTAGACCGACGCTTGTTACAATGATACGAAAGGAAACAGGGGGACCCCTCTGACCCCCGCCCAGAATTCATCCATTTAATAGTGAGGTGAGCATTTGTCTATAACTCCTTCTTAGCTTTTTTTTCTTTTTGAGACAAAGTCTCACTATGTCACTCTCCATAGAATGCTGTGACATCACAGCTCACAGCAATCTCAAACTCTTGGGCTCAAGCAATTCTCCTGCCTCAGCCTCCCAAGTAGCTAGGACTACAGGCATCCGCCACAACGCCCGGCTATTTTTTGTCGCAGTTGTCATTGTTGGTTAGCTAGCCCAGGCCGTGTTCAAACCTGCCAACTTCAGTGTACGTGGCTGGTGTGGTAACCACTGTGCTACGGGTGCCAAGCCTCCTTCTTAGCCTTTTAAACTCCACTCCAACTCCTCTCTCCCTCTTCCTCCATTTCTAGGCATTTTAAGCATATAACCCCTCTCTGAGCCTTTTCTACCTTCTCTCCCTTTCCCCACTCTGGGCCGAGAAACTCTGGTAGTCCAGTGCCTCCTAAATCAGGAGCAGGTCACAATCTAACTCCAGCCGGTCAGACTCGCTCATCCAGTGCCTGGTGCATGAGGATGCCCTGCCTTAGGCCTGGACCACTATTTTCCAGCTGGTTAAAGTTCCTTCAGGGCAGCCTAGTAACCTCCCTGGCCCCAGCCTCAGCCACTTCCTTCTTCCCTTTCATGAATTCCTTCTTTATCCTCCTTTAACCTCATTTATTCTCTACCTCCAGGTTCCAATATGGGAACCACTCAGGCGCGGATTCCTTCTTCTTTACCTTTAAGCTGCCTCTTTTTTTTTTTTT